GTGGCAGGCCCCTTCCACCCCACCTAAGTCGCTAGTTTGGTAGGGCCACAGTGCCAAGTCCCTGCAAGCGGAGCGGGGGGGGGGGGTGGCCAGACTGGTCTCCCTACCCCATAAGCTGAGAATCTTCAGCTATGTCCAGCAGGAACCTATCTCTGCCACAGCTAACCCCTTCCCCTTCCCTAATGCCCCACCACCCTCCATCCGCTGGAGAGCCCTCGGCGACGGAGCAGCTCTTTGAGGAGAGACTAGTCCAGGACTCCAGGGAGGACTGACTCGCCTCGAGGCCGCTGCACTGAGCCCCCGGCCATTTTGGGGGCCGGGGGCACCTTTCCTTCCAACCCAGGCCCTGCCCGCTCTGCATGGATATTACAGATCCCAGAGCACTTCGCCAGTTTTGCTCAGACATCCTTAGCCAAAATATTCCGTGCCGTGCCGGGTTGGCGGCCACTCCCCCGCCCCCCAGAGGTGGCTGCACATGGGTGTCGTATATACCCAGCGAAAGCCGCAGCCTCCAAACCCCAGCTGTGCAAATTCCAGAGTGTCCGAACGCCGATGCTCAGAACGACCCCGCCCCGCTCAAAGCTAGTCCCTCGAGGGGTTTATTCACAGAGTCAGAAACCGCGTTTTAAACGGCCCTCAGAGTCTGACACCCAACAGTGCTTGTGCGGGAGGGAGCTGAGTGGGCAGACGAGCTTGGCGAATGCAGATGGGGCCTTCTCTGCACCGGCCTCAGGGTTCCTTGCCCTGGGTCAAGCAACCCCTTCCTTTCCTTCAAGCCACCCTAAAAAGTAATTCCTCCCCCCGCACCTCACAAGCCTCTAGGTACCTGTCACGGCAAGAGCACAGCCCCTAGCGGCTAGTCTCAGAGATCGTGCCTCCCTGGGCACATCTACACGGCCATCAGGAGAGGTGAGGGCAGCATGTGTAGACGTGCCCGAGCTGGCTTGGATCCCACTAGATCAGTGGCTCTCGACCTATTTACCATTGTAGGCTGCATATGCAGCTCTCTCTGTTAGGTGGGCCTCCACACACTCTATATCAGTAGTTCTCAAACTTTTGTCCTGGTGACCCCTTTCACATGGGAAGTGTGACCCTCCCCTTATACATTAAAAACACTTTTTCTATATTTAACACTATTATAAATGCTTGAGGCAAAGCGGGGTTTGGGGTGGAGACTGACAGCTCATGACCCCCCATGTAATACCCTTGTGACCCCCTGAGGGGTCCCGACCCCCAGTTTGAGAACCCCTGGTCTATCGACTCCCTGTATGGCCCGGAGGATGTCACATGAGCCGCAGCTGTGCGCTGATTGGGCGGGTTGAGAACCAATGTGCGAATCACGGCTTGCTCAAGTAGCCGTGGCAGCGAAGCCGGGGCCACCTGGGCTAGTCCTAGGTAGATGAAAGGTAGCTCAGGTGTGCCTGCTCGAGCTGCAGCCACCCCCCCTGATGGCAGTGCTGACATCCGCCCAGAGCCTTCCCGCCAGCAGACCCCGGCCTGCCCAGCGCAGGACACGCACCTTCGCCTGCAGCTTCTGCACGAGCTGCGCCTGCCGCTGCTGGCCCTCCTGGTAGGCCTGGAGCTTGCGTTTGTAGGCGGCCTGCTCCTCCTCCAGGCGGCGCCGCAGCTCGATGTTCTGCTGGGCCAGGCCTTTGTTCTCCAGCGACTCCCGCTCTCGCTCCCCGGTCTCCAGGCGCAGGGCCTGCTCCAGCTGAGCCCGGAGAGATGGGGAAACGGGTCACTGCAGACGCGCCTTCCAACCGGCCTCCTGCGCACGCCATCTGGCCCC